CGACCGGAAAAAGGTGCCTTGCCCTCTACAGGTGGGTGGAGAGGTCCTTCCTCAAGTGGAGTTCAAGTATCTCAGGGTCTTGTTCACGAGTGAGGGAAGAATGGAGCGTGAGATTGACAGGCGGATCGGTGCAGCGTGCGCAGTGATGCGGTCGCTGTATCGGACCGTTGTGGTAAAGAGGGAGCTGAGCCGAAAGGCAAATCTTTCGATTTACCGGTCAATCTTCGTTCCCTCCCTCACCTATGGTCATGAGCTTTGAGTAATGACCAAAAGAACAAGATTGCGGATGCAAGCGGTCGAAATGAGCTTCCTCCGCAGAGTGGCTGGGCGCTCCCTTAGAGATAGGGTGAGGAGCTCAGTCACACGGGAGGAGCTTGGAGTAGAGCCGCTGCTTCTCCACGTCGAGAGGAACCAGTTGAGGTGGCTCGGGCATCTGTTCCGGATGCCTCCTGGACGCCTCCCTGGGGAGGTGTTCCGGGCACGTCCCACCGGAGGAGGCCCCGGGGAAGACCTAGGACACGCTGGAGGGACTATGTCTCCCAGGTCTGGCCTGGGAACGCCTTGGGGTCCCCCCCGGACGAGCTGGAGGAAGTGTGTGTGGATAGGGAAGTCTGGGCGTCTCTGATTAAGACTGCTGCCCCCGCGACCCGGCAACGGATAAAGCGGAAGAAAATGGATGGATGGATGGATGGATGGTTGTCTGGCATATTAACATGGGACAAAATTGTGGACCCCCAAAAAGAAGCAGGTTGCTTGGTTTTCTACAGCATCTAAGGCTGATTACTGTCTGCTCCCAGCAGCATAGTTTAGAACGGGAGCAACACAGGCCTCATACAACTTAAAGTATCTTCTATAACCAAGATATTTACATACATGACTCCACAGTCAAAATTCATTAACTCATCAATTGTGAAACCCAAATATTTGTACTCAGGGACAAATTCCATGTTACCAAGCTGCGATTGGTCTCGATGAGAATGCTACTGAAGATCCCAGACACAGTAGTACCAGTCAGATGTTTGAAGAGTGTAGAGTGCGCCGGTTTGGCTAGGAGGACCAGACGATGCCCCAAAATGGGCAAGTTCCGCTAATCTTTTGGTACCCCAGTATGTCCTATAGGCAACTGAGTACAAGCCGTTGATTTGAATAGTGTGCCATCTTGGATCGCCGGGGCTCAGTGGTAATGTACCAAGCATGGACCATAGACGGGCGGTACAGGACCATCCCCAGCTTGTTGCAAGTGTGGACCTCCCCCATGTGTCTCCACCGAAAGCGCAACCAAAACTCACTACATTAAAGCTGAGGTAACTAAATTTACCCTTGCACTAAAGTAAAATGTTATGGACAAATCAAAAAGAAAACAACAGGCCATCTTGGTTTTTTTAAATTTTCCTCACTTAATAAAACAATATCCTAGTCCTCACGAGTTTGTATATTTGGTCTAAATCCAAGCTTATTGCTCAGATTCACCGGTGCATTTAGAAGTCTTTGAGTACCAGTCTGAGGTTGAGCTATTGGGGGTTTCTCAGACAAAAAGAAAGGAAAATTGTAGATACAGTGAGGTGTTTGCACACCCTGCAATTTTGACAGGTGACTTCAATGAGATCAAAGGGGTGGTGGGTGGGTGATTAGTTGTGGGGAGTAAAGGTGGACGGTCAGCTCTTTGAGAGTCATAATTCTGGCTGATTCTCATGTGTGTAAATACTTATGAACCCCTGTAACATACAGTGCCTTGCGAAAGTATTCGGCCCCTAGAACCTTTCAACATTTCACCACATTTCAGGCTTCAAACATAAAGATATAAAAATTAATTTTTTTGTCAAGAATCAACAACAAGTGGGACACAATCGTGAAGTGGAACGAAATGTATTGGATAATTTAAACTTTTTTAACAAATAAAAAACTGAAAAGTGGGGCGTGCAATATTATTCGGCCCCCATGCGCTAATACTTTGTAGCGCCACCTTTTGCTGCAATTACAGCTGCAAGTCGCTTGGGGTATGTCTCTATCAGTTTTGCACATCGAGAGACTGGAATTCTTTCCCATTCTTCCTTGCAAAACAGCTCGAGCTCAGTGAGGTTGGATGGAGAGCGTTTGTGAACAGCAGACTTCAGCTCTTTCCACAGATTCTCGATTGGATTCAGGTCTGGACTTTGACTTGGCCATTCTAACACCTGGATATGTCTATTTGTGAACCATTCCATTGTAGATTTGGCTTTATGTTTTGGATCATTGTCCTGTTGGAAGATAAATCTCCGTCCCAGTCTCAGGTCTTTTGCAGACTCCAACAGGTTTTCTTCCAGAATGGTCCTGTATTTGGCTCCATCCATCTTCCCATCAATTTTAGCCATCCTCCCTGTCCCTGCTGAAGAAAAGCAGGCCCAAAGCATGATGCTGCCACCACCATGTTTGACAGTGGGGATGGTGTGTTCAGGGTGATGAGCTGTGTTGCTTTTACGCCAAACATATCATTTTGCATTGTGGCCAAAAAGTTCGATTTTGGTTTCATCTGACCAGAGCACCTTCTTCCACATGTTTGGTGTGTCTCCCAGGTGGCTTGTGGCAAACTTTAAACGAGACTTTTTATGGATATTTTTGAGAAATGGCTTTCTTCTTGCCACTCTTCCATAAAGGCCAGATTTGTGCAGTGCACGACTGATTGTTGTCCTATGGACAGACTCTCCCACCTCAGCTGTAGTTATCTGCAGTTCATCCAGAGTGATCATGGGCCTCTTGGCTGCATCTCTGATCAGTCTTCTCCTTGTTTGAGATGAAAGTTTGGAGGGACGGCCGGGTCTTGGTAGATTTGCAGTGGTCTGATACTCCTTCCATTTCAATATAATTGCTTGCACAGTGCTCCTTGAGATGTTTAAAGCTTGTGAAATCTTTTTGTATCCAAATCCGGCTTTAAACTTCTCCACAACAGTATCTCGGACCTGCCTGGTGTGTTCCTTTGTCTTCATGGTTCTCTCTGCGCTTTAAACAGAACCCTGAGACTATCAAAGAGCAGGTGCATTTATACGGAGACTTGATTACACACAGGTGCATTCTATTTATCATCATCAGTCATTTAGGACAACATTGGATCATTCAAAGATCCTCACTGAACTTCTGGACTGAGTTTGCTGCACTGAAAGTAAAGGGGCCGAATAATATTGCACGCCCCACTTTTCAGTTTTTTATTCGTTAAAAAAGTTTAAATTATCCAATAAATTTCGTTCCACTTCACGATTGTGTCCCACTTGTTGTTGATTCATGACAAAAAATTAAAATGTTATATCTTTATGTTTGAAGCCTGAAATGTGGCGAAATGTTGAAAGGTTCAAGGGGGCCGAACACTTTTGCAAGGCACTGTATAAATAAATCATACAAAAATCATAGAATGTAATTTCTGGATTTTTCATTTTCGATTATGTCTCTAACAGTGGAAATACATTTATGATGAACATGTCAGACCTCTCCCTAATTTCTAAGTGGGAGAACTTGCCAAATATCCGCACTCTTGTCATAACCAGTGATGGGAATAACGCCGTTACTTTTTTCAGTAACGAGTAATCTAACTAATTACTTTGACTGTAACTATAACGCCGTTATCATTTCCGACATCCCGTTACTGCGCGTTACTAAAGACGCACAATGAACTTCTCTTTTTACTTTGTGAGAGGACTCGTGTGCGTGTTGTCATGAGAGAAGGGAGGATGAGAAAACCTCTCAGCAATTATTGGCTGATGTAAAACATATTTCCTTTACAATCCACATGTCTACAGTTGAGAGGATGGTCATAAATTGTGTTTTTGAAACAAATATGGGTCTTAGTCGCGCTCAACCACGGCTTGTATCACCGTGAGGCCAGCCTCAGAGGACCGCATGTGAGCGCAGAAGTCGGCTGCATACAATTCCATCAGAAAGCTCCTTTCTCTTCCTGGTTTATCTGCTACGGGCAGCAACAGGTTTGGCTAACATACATATAACACATTTTAAGATAATTTAAAATGCACTTAAGGTAATTTTTCAATTACTATAGGAATGATAAGAAAGAGAGAGAGAGTGTAAGACGGTTGATTTTAGAAATTGGATGCATCCGGCTGCACCTAGCAAAACAGAGTAGTTTACGGAGGACACACGCGTTTTGTTTTACTTTTTAAAACTTATTTCCAAATGGAGGATTACATATCTACGCTCAAACTATTATCTGGACTTAAACACAGAACTGGTCTGAACTGAAGTGGACTGTGCAGGTCATTTATAAGGTAAGACCCATAACTCATAGTTTTGCGTTTTGTATGAACAAACAATGCGGCCATGAAACATATTTTGCTGTAGCCAAACAAATTGTCCAGTTGATTTATATGATGTATATGTTCATCTGATTGGACTGAAGTCAGTGCTTCACCGGTGTTTCCACATTCACAGTGGAGCGTGTTGGTGTTTAGTGCTTACAGCACAGAGAGAGATGAAGAGTGAACAGGACTTCAGCAGCAAAACAGCCTTTTCTAGATGGAAATATTGGCACTGTTAAAGGTAAAAATGCGCACGTCGGGTGCACATTATGTTCCAGAACAAAACAAAAAAGTAACGCAATAGTTACTTTTACTGGTAACTAGTTACTTTTATAGTGGAGTAACTCCGTTAGTAACTCAGTTACTTTTTGGGAGAAGTAACTAGTAACTATAACTAATTACTTTTTCAAAGTAACGTGCCCAACACTGGTCATAACTGATTTGCTCAAATACAGGAAGCAAATTAAATGAAATACAGGTTTTAGATAATAGCAAGCGGAATTAAATAATTATATTCCATCTACATTGGGCCTACGTTTCTGTTTGAGTGAATCATGCAACTAGGAATGACTCAATTCAGCTCACAGTATATGGATGAATAATAATTAAAACTTGATCTAATGGATATTATGTCCCTTATTGATTATTTATCATAGAGACAATACAATCCGACATTAGCATGAATATTCTGACTTGTGAACAAAAGTGGACAGGACTCACCTCGTCGTCCTCAGGGGCAAACATGTAGTTGTAGAAGGCTGGAGTTTTCTTGTTGAGGCGCTCAATGTAATCCCACACAGATCTACAGAGCTGAGGAGGCCTGCGGTCGCCCTTCTCTTCGTATAGTACTCCTTAAAAAAGACAACAACACACTTACAGACTTGTTCCCTATTAGGATCTCTGAGCACGGAAATCTGTGTGCGCAAAGCAACAATCCACCCTGAGCATTCAGAAGTGCTACACAGATAATATATGTGATTAGCCACGTTTCCACCGCAGGAGTTCCTGGTAAAAGGAGGAGGGTGGGACAGCTACAGGAACCGTCCTCTCACTTGGCCCTCTCAGTGGCTGTGTGTCCACTGCAGAGTAGGAACCCTCGGCAACGTCAGGAGTTTCCATTGTTGTGTGATCAATAACCGGCTACAGGTGTTGTGGTGTTTGAGTTTTTATTAGTTCTGCTTCAGTTTTTTTTTACTCTTCACTGCATTGTTTCAGAGTGTGATGAAACCCCAGTGTGTCAAGGTGTGTCGATATGTCTTTTCATATCACCTCAAACCCCCTCTTCAATCAACACCTGCACCTGTATTGTACATTTTGCTGTTGCTGTTTTCAGTGGTGTCTGCTAGGCTAATGCTACTGGATTTAAAGAATGCTAGTTATTTTGGTGCTTTCTGTTGGCATCAGAGCCTCTAGCTTTAGCCAGTCAGTGCTGGTTTAACCTCAAGCCCCACACAGGAGCTATTCAGGGCGGAACGGAGTACCTCCTCTGGAGTAGGCACTTCATTGGGCCCCAAAATGGCCCTTTGGGGGATGGTCCTGTAGTGGGGACACCCACCAACGTGGCTGGCCCTGTAAAATAACCCAGAAGTTCCTGCGGTGGAAACGCGACTATAGACAGCACTCTGTGCTGCCAGAAAAACAACTTGGCCGAGTAGTTCTACGTCATGGTGCTCCGCCCATTAGGAGGCTACACGATGGGTAACTCAGAGGCTCCCAGCCTCCCGCCAGAGAGAACTAAATGCTCCAATCACGTGCCAGTCCCATCTATAAATAGCCCTCTACAGCCCGCACCTCCCACTTTGAACTCTGGCACCATAGAGAGATCGCTCTACTCTGAAGAATCAAGATGTTGCTGCCTTCTGCTTTCGTCAGAGTTCCACTTTGCCCTCCTGCATCGGACGAGGAAGTGTAGCGCTTTCCCAGGTAAGCTTATCTAAAAGAAGAGGAGAGCGCTGCCCACAAGTGTGCTTCTTTCTCCCCAGTCAGGAGAGAGAGCGCCGCGTGGCTCATGCTAGCGCCGCAGAGACTTGCCCAGACTCCCCTCAGGAAGAGGAGTCTGAGGTTCATTATGTCCCTCTCGACCTGTCTCCTGCACCCAGGGAGTGTGGAGGCGGTGTTGTGGAGTCCGAGATGTCAGAGACGAGGGGTCTCTTGTCACTCGGGAGGAGGCTATTCTGAGGAGAGCGCTGCCTATAGAGCGTGCTGCTATCTCCCCAGGGAGGAGAGAGAGAGCACCGCGTGACATATGCTAGCGCCGCGGAGACTTCTCAGGAAGAGGAGTCCGAGGTTCATGTTGTCCCTCTCGACCTACCTCCCACACACACGGAGAGTGGGGAGGCTGTATCATGGAGAACGAGTTCGACGAGGACCTGGGTTCCTTAGTCACTCTAGACGAATCCGTTCCTGGTGCGAGGGACAGGACCCTCGATCACATGTCCCGCCCCCTTGCAGCTGCGCGAGGCGCATGGAGATCCCCCCCCTCTCCGCAACCCACCCAGACTGACTTCAGGTCTGTGGGCGCTTCTGAGCGGGGAGAGAGAGAGAGAGAGAGAGAGAGAGAGGCTGACATCAACGCTGTGTCCACGAATGGACCCGGTGATTCACTATGCGACACGCGATTGGTCCAGACCCCAGGCAGCCAAGCGGCCTGCTCTGGGTTATGGCCCCTACTGCACCGTCCAGGCCAGGCAGTAGACCTCTCCTTCCCTCTGAGTGGGATAGGATTAGGGGTGGGAACCTAAGGGTACCTCACGATACGATACGATACACGATACAAAGCTCACGATAACGATAATATCACGATAACGATATCACGATAACGATTTTATCATGATATGACGATTATTGATATATTGGTCAGAAATATACAATATGCCAATTCATGGCATAAATAAAATAAAAAATACTCTATTTCACGATAAATAGAATGGAGATGCGTAATGTAGCCATATATTAAGTATTGATACCAATTTAAAAAAAAAAAAAAAAAAAAAAATCTATATATATATATATTATTTTTTTTTTTTCAAAATCGATATCGATACTTGGCAAATGCATATTGATAATCGAATTGCGGGAGAAAGTATCGCGATATATCAAAAAAAATCGATATATCGTCACACCCCTAGATAGGATGACAATGTCTGCCCTGGATAAATGCTACGCCAACGCGTCTCAGGTGGTCACGTTGGCTAGCAACATGGCCTTCCTCACGGAACGCTGGACAAATCTCTCTCCGCGGGCTGGGTGCTCAGCGGTGAGGACCCGTCTGAGGCCAAGACCGCAACAGCGACGCTCCGCCGGATGGCGCGGACTTATGGTGCTTTCAGACCGCCAACGCTGAAGCCCTCTGTCTCGCACAGCATGTCCCACATGGACCGCGGCCCCTCTCGATTGCCCCCTTTCAGCCTGGTTCACACGGCAGGATAATTAGGCCGATTTTGGACCCGATTTACCCTCTTGGAGCTCTTGGTTGAGGCGTCCTGGACTCTGGTCTGACCTTGTCCCTCTGGGGTGTTCTGGCCTTCCCTTCGGGAGCTCTTGGTAGAGGCGTCCTGGGAATGCGGCCCCCCCTCATTCACAGGGGAAGCTTGACAGGGGCCTCGGGCGACCTTGATATGAGCGGCCTTAACCCTGTGGTGCTTGCCTTGAGGTTCGTCAGCGTTTTTAAGGGCGTCCTTGGTAGGAGCGGCCTTTAACACTGTGTTGGATTCCTTTTTCCTGCCCTGAGGCCACTCACCTTGGAGGTGTTGGGGGTAGGGCTCCAATCACTCTACGCTGGCCTGATGGGAGTACATTTTTCCTACGGCTTACGCGTTGTTACCATAGACTGTATATATTAACGGACAGAGTCACGCCTATCTCCGCCGTTCTAACTAATGGGCCAAAAAATGTGCTCTACTGGAGCTATCCAAAATGGCCGCGAGTGGTCCCGCCCACACGAAAATTGTGAAAAAACGCATCTGCGCATGCGTCAGCCGGCCAAGCTCCATTCATTTGAACGAGAGACTTCAAAAATTCACCCCCGTCAGCATTGACACACATGTGGAACGGAGCTTTGGGCCAAGAGCCAACTTTTGGTCCAGCCTGTAAAGACGTTTTCGAGAGGTCTGCCAATGCTATATGTTAGCATTGGCTAATTCTTCTTCTGGGTCCAGCCCCATCGGCCCGGGGTGGTATTGCAAGCATGTCAGCGCACGTCATTTTGGCCACTTTTGAGCTGGGACCCGCCCCCACTGGTTGTTACCCATAGGGTAGGGCTGCAACTAACGATTATTTAGATAATCGATTAATCAGGCGATTATTTTTACGATTAATCGATTAATCGGTTTATGTACTTATATTTTAGTTTTGCCAATTTTTTTCCAAGTAAATTGTTAACAAAGGGCCTTCATCATTCAACATAGACTTTTTAGAGATTTTAACCATTTTACATATTCATATCCACATCAAAAACTTAACTGGAGCTGTTTATTATGTCTTTGTAATCCTTTAGTGAACTCAATGTTGACCATCAAAACAAAACACTGACCGTTACATACTCTAGCAAATTTCACAAGGAGATTTCCAATAATGTTTTCACCATGAAAATCCTTAGGGCTTCTGAAGTAGTTTAAAATCCCGAACAAGGCTTATTTAAGTTGATAAACTGATAAATGTTTTTTTTTTTTTACATCTTTGTGCAAATTATTTGAAAGATCAACTTTATGCCTAAAACAGTGAGTGTGGCGCCATCTTTTGCAAACAGTCAGTACTGCAGAGAGATGGTTTAAGGTGCTCACGCAGAGACGTAGTACTCCCGTGCCAGGCCAAGTCAGTAGCGCAGAGTTTACAGGTTACTCTTCTTTTTTGAAGGTTCAAAGTAAAGTGCTCCCACACTTTGGATGACTTCGTTCGATTAGGTTTGTCTTCTGCTTTTTTCCTTTTTTTTCTCGAGCTTACTCCGCTTGCCTCCGCCATCTTGCTGTATGCTGAAGAGAAGCTGTGCGCGAAGCATGTGACATAAAAGGAGGCCAGCTATTGGCTATTCGCTACTTCTCCTGCTGTAAAACCTCCGGTGGCTCATTACTGCCACCATTTGGTCACCGCAGAGTTAAAATATGCACGAAATGAGCCGCTTACGGCAAAATAAAAGTTATTTAGCAACTAATCGATGACTAAATTAGTTGACAACTATTTTAATAATCGATTTTAATCGATTAAATCGATTAGTTGTTTCAGCTCTACCATAGGGTAGTCTCCTAAGGGGCGGAGCACCATGACGTAGAATTGGTAGTTACCTAATGTAACTAAAGTTATACGAATGGTGCGTAGCCCCTTAGCTACGGGCCCATCAGTCCAGCCTGGCTTTGGCAGAGTTCAAAGTGGCAGGTGCGGGCTGTAGAGGGCTATTTATAGATGGGACTGGCACGTGATTGGAGCATTTAGTTCTCTCTGGCGGGAGGCTGGGAGCCTCTGAGTTACCCATAGCGTAGCCTCCTTAGGGGCTACGCACCATGACGTAGAACTTAAGTCACATTAGGTAACTACCAATTATTTTTTATTATTTATAACACACTACTGGGTGCAGCTCTGACTGCCACCTCCCCCGACCCAGAAATGGATTAAGGGGAAGAAGATGGATGGATGGATATTTATAACACAGAACTGGGAACGCAGGCTCTATTCAAATTAGAACAAGTCAAATCTGAAATTGGATCTGTAGATTATCTCAGCAAAAGAGAAGCACTCACTAAAACAGATTTAGACAGATTTGTTATATTTGATGGGTTTATTAGGCCTATGCACAATGTACCACTAAAACACAAATTGAATGAACTAAAGTTGGCTGGATGACACTGAATTCGTGTTTATCGTCTCAATGATAACGCAACACACAGAAGGTCACATAATACATTGCGTGCTAATGGAAGGCACACATTTGTAAAGAACATTATACGTAGAAATTCCCCCAAACTAATTTAGAAACAACACTCTTGGTCTAGGAATGCAAGCATGCAAGCCTTGACGTTTGCAAAAGGAATATTCAACCAGGAGGGGAGGAGGAAGAGTTCATAATATCCCTGGTGGGACTTTTTGATGAGGGAAATCATATGTTGTAAACCCCATGTGCATAATAAGTGTCTTTCAAATCCCTGTGCCAGCCTGGAGAAGTGTGTTACCCAGCTCGATGCGCTCATAGTCAGAGTCCAGGAGGAAAGTCCTGAAGCGGTTGGACACGTAGTGATAGGCTAGAAACTTCAGGTAGTACTGGCTGAACTCAAACTCCATGGGGAACTGCAGGTGGATCTGTGGAAGGAGCATAACACCACATCAACCACCACAGGCTGTGAATGCAACTTGCAGATTAGCCCAGTAGCAGCTTGACACCACAGGCTTCTTCTGGGGGCAACTGAATGCAATCTTTCACAAGTATGTTGTATTTGTCCACATCTTTGGAATCATAACTAATTGCAAGTATCGCACAGTTAAAAACATTTTCATTTCAAAATACAAAAGACGGAAAATAATGTTGCCATTTTAACTGTAGTAATTTTCCATGGGGTAAATTAAAAAAACATTTTTCATACTAGTAAGAAACAGTCCTGTGACTATTTGAGACTTTGGGCTGAGAGCTGATTGGCTGAGTCCTTTCTTTAGGCGTTTTCACATGGGCTGGACTCAGGCCGGTGTTCTGTCGAGTTGTGCTGCCTAAGCCGTTTATGATGTCAGTAAAATGAAGTATGCGGCAGTTCAACTCGACAAGAGGATTGCTATCACAGTAGCAGTGTGGTTTCACAGGATCAGTTGACTGCTTAAACCAAACTTTACACAAAACTTGGAATGTTAAAACCCACATATCACAACATCTCATCTCAAATTATTATTATTAACGTTTATTATTAAGAGGAATAGCCCCTTGAGATGAATCATTTGTTTCCGAGGGGGTCCTCAAATTGCCTTAAAAGTGACACTTGTGCCCTTTTTTTTTGTATTTCAACTTTTTAAAGAATTTGCGGACTTTATGTTTGCCATCTTGGATTGCTTTGGCTGCCGTGAAACGCACATGCGCAGATTTGTATTACATAATAAACAGCTGAGGCAGCACAACTCAACAAGCAGCAGAACTCAACAGAACACCGGCTCGGCTCAGTTTTCACTCACAGTGAGTGGCGTCGAGCTGCTCAAGCTGGTGATGCTGCTTAAGAGAAGGGCCAGGGTAGGCCTACCATTCTCCCACACAAACATTGGAGGCAAATCACATAAACTATTGCGAGCGGCACAATATGAAGAAAAATGAATTACATATGATTTTTTAAAACTCGCATGTTTTGAGTAGTTGAGAAAGATATAAACAATACATTGGTTAAAATCTTGGACCGTGAAGACTTCTATTGCAGTGATTAGAAACGCATATTGGTTTCACTGGATTCTGCAGACACAACTTCATGTGATTTGCATGTGTGTCCGTTCTTATCTGTTCCCTCCTCATTTCAGCACTAGTTAGGTCTATTCTTTGGTGCTACTTTGGACAGTTTACAAAGCACTGTTCTACATCAAGAGGTTCCCAAACTTCTCAGTCTGGACCCCGAAATTGCCATGAAACTGACTTGCAATCTCCACTGATGCATACAATTTAATCATAATTTGACGCTTCAAAACATGCTGAATTTTATTTATGTTGTTCATTTGAGTTGTATTTCTATTTGATCAAAAATCACTTAAAAATATTGTTTGTATTAAAATAATTGATTGTCCCTATTCAAATAACTAATAAATATTTTAAAGAGTTGGGACCTGGTGCACACAGTCGAGGAACTGCAGGAAGACCGGAGTGAAGCCACTGCTCTGGGATCCCACAGTTTGAGCGCCCCTGTGGCTGAAACGATGACCGAAGGACAGCCACTCTTTTTCCAGCAGCAGCCTGAAGCCCTCCAGTGTGCGGTAGTATGGGTCGGAGAGGATTTGTACCAGGGACACCACCTGTAGCACCAATATCATCATATAAAAAAACAACAAGTATTGCATCAAGTATTTCATTTGAACAAAAACGCAGACAATACTATTTTCTGGATTCAGAAAAGAAGGTGAACAAAGCTCAAAACAGCAGGTGTCTCTAGGTTTGTCAGGAGCATTGATAGTCTAGCCTCTGGGTGGAACAGGACTGGTCAAAGCAGAAGAGGTGGATCAGCATAGTTCGGACCATTTTCTCCGGTCTGGTCTAAAGTAAAATGCTACATGCTTCATTAGCATTTTTCAATGTTAGTTTTCCTCCAGTAGATATTTGCCTGATCCGCTTGTTACAGACCATGAATCCTCTCCGTTCCTGTCTGGACCAGTGCAAAACCATGAACACTGTACTGCAGCAACATTTCAGGAAGAAAAATAACAATTGTAAAGCACAAAAACAACTGTTTGAGTTACTTAGGACTTGATAAATAGCAAGCACACCTCTTCTCGCTCCAGGCAAGAATGACGGTCTGGTGAGATACCTCACTCATGTTATCAGAGAACCATGGTTCTTAACCTTCCTGTTCTCTTTCAACATTTCATGAAGTGTCTCACATATGGAATATAGAGACCCCCTGAGCCATCACGCTCAGGACATTCCGAGATAGTGAGGGGCCTGTGACATCCAGTCTACAGTACCTTGCAAAAGTACTGTAGGACATAAGTGGCTTTTTACCTATTTTGTTACATTACAGCCTTTAGTTCAATGTTTTTTTAATCTGAATTTCAAATGATGGGTCAGAAAACAGTAATCTAAGTTGGTGAAGTGAATTGAGAAAAATATATACATAAAACTATTTTTCAGAAATAAAAAACTGGAAATTGGCATGTGCATATGTACAGTGGGGCAAAAAAGTATTTAGTCAGCCACCAATTGTGCAAGTTTTCCCACTTAAAATAATGATATGTCTGTAATTTTCATCATAGGTACACTTCAACTGTGAGAGACAGAATGTGAAAACAAATCCAGGAATTCACATTGTAGGATTTTTAAAGAATTTATTTGTAAATTATGGTGGAAAATAAGTATTTGGTCAATAACAAAAATCCAACTCAATACTTTGTAATATAACCTTTGTTGGCAATAACAGAAGTCAAACGATTACTACAGATCTTTACCAGGTTTGCACACACAGTAGCTGGTATTTTGGCCCATTCCTCCATGCAGATCTTCTCGAGAGCAGTGATGATTTGGGGCTGTCGCCGAGCGACACAGACTTTCTACTCCCTCCACAGATTTTCAATGGGGTTGAGGTCTGGAGACTGGCTAGGCCACTCCAGGACTTTCAAATGCTTCTTACGGAGCCACTCCTTCGTTGTCCGGACGGTGTGTTTGGGATCATTGTCATGCTGGAAGACCCAGCCACGTTTCATCTTCAAAGCTCTCACTGATGGAAGGAGGTTTTGGCTCAAAATCTCACAATACATGGCCCCAATCATTCTTTCCTACTCTTTCCCCCTTGGACGCCTATTAGGAACTACACATACATGCATTACTAGGGCTACCCATAGAGCATAACTGTATAAAAGAAAACGAATGTCCACAAGTGATTATAAATCATTTCACACTCTGAAATTTATTGAAACATAGACATATTTGGTATCTCTGTAAACCTTAGAGCTTGAACTATCGATTTATGTATGCTTAAATGTAATTAAACTAAATTACAGGTATGTAACAGCTTATTGAACATTTTATTTTACCTAGTCAGGTGCAAATTCGAAAATAAAAAATGAACTCTGCATCTGATATATACATATTCTGAACACTGTATTCATAAAAAAATGTAAAGATATATTTGTCAAAGTATTGAGACAGGCTTCATATTACCAGATACAGTCTGAGCAAGTGTATACCTGTTTCTACCTGTTATACACCTGTGTGTACCTGACTCGTTTTTTTACATTTAGCTTATTCAACTCATTTACATTTAGCTTATTCAACTCATAACATTTAGCTTATTCACACATTACATTTTCAACTCATAAAGGAACTCTGAAGTGATTGTCTTTTTGGAATATAATAAAAATATAATAACAATGTAATACCAACAATATAATAACAACTGAAAAGTCTGAAAAGATTTTCAGATCTGAACCTGGTGTGACTCAGTCCTCAGGTGGATGCAACTCCCGGAAACAGTCATTGCACATGTGTGTATTACATGTTGAACACCCATATACAGTTTCATGGCGACGTTCCTTTTTGTAGCAGCTTTTACACCTGCGGTGTTTTCCTGGTAGTCGGTCAAAGGAGTGCATCATCTTGCGTTTATGCGTATCAATGAATGGAGGAGATCCACACTCATGAATGGCAGCTCTCTTTCTGCTGGAGAATTCATTGATCAACTCTTTTCCCAGCTCCAAGATGAAGTCCTTCTGGGCATAGCGCTTCTTCCTTCCCATTTGCCTGGTCGATGCCAGCTTGTAAAGAATCCAGGCATTTACACGGCAGCAGTCAACCACAAACCATAATATGTACTTCCAGTACTTTTTGCTGGCACGTGATGCTGCATACTTTTTCCTCAGCTGATCATGAACATCAACACCATTCATGTGTTGGTTGTACCTGTTGATAGCCTGGGGTTGTGGCACAGTTAATTTCTGTCTGCCCACCTGCCGTTCACAGGTAACCATTTCACTTGGATGAGCAAGGCAACTGTGAGCAACAATTACAATGCTGTTGTCATTCCAAGCTGTCACGGTGACATTGTTTCTTTGAAAGGTCATGGTGTCACCTCTCTTTGGCAGCTTCTTTTTTAGCTGCTTCTTTTGTTTCAGAGCAGGTGGGGAATATTTTCTTGTTGTCAACATTGTCCCACAAGCATATATGTGGTCTGACAGGAGATGCTCCAGCAATGAAACGGAAGAGAAAAAACGGTCAAAGTAAACACAGTGATTTAGGCCAATTAAGTCCCGTGTCATTTCGTGAATTACTCTGTATCCTAGTCCATGACGCTGCTGAAGAGGGGTCTGATCACGCTTGCCTGAATATAGTTGAAAGTCAGACATGTAAGCTGTCCGGCCATCACACCTTGCCCAAAATTTTATGCCAAATTTCTCTGGCTTTTGGGGCATGTACATGCGTAGCTCTGTTCTTCCTTTGAAGCCCTTCATAGCTTCATCAATGGAGATGTCACGATCATGCTTGTAGTACATTTTGAATTTCTCACGTGCCATGTCCACTACAGGAGCCACTTTTGCGATGGGATGGTAATCCGGATGGTTTCGACCAATACGCGCTGCCGCGTGATTACAGTGCAAGTACTGAGACAGTTTCTCGTACCTGTTCACGGTCATCACGCGCTGAAACCCGCTGACACCGAGGAATGGATCTCCACACCAATAGTCCGCGTATTCATGCATGGGATTTGCACCCATGAGTATTGCCAATCCAAAAAACGCTCTAATTTCTTCCCCATCAGTCGGCATCCAGTGCTTGTCAGCGCCACTCTCTCTCGCACATAGCGCCGCGTAAGCGTTAGTTTCTGTGGCAAGTTTATCAAACATCTCATCCGGGAAGAAAAGACTGAAGTATTTAAAGGGACTAGCCTCAGAAACATCCATATTTCGTGGCAATTTTGGTCCACAATCCAGAGTAAAGTCCCCAATAGTTTGCTCACATATGACGGGACTCCAGGCAGACGCGTCTCGCAGATTCTCCTCCTCGTCAATTTCACTCGCGTCGCTGTCACTGTTTTCCACAATGTAATCCGGGTCATCCAAGTCATCCCCACTCGAAAATCCATGAAACTCGGAGCCAGAGTCACTTTCTCCAAAGTAATCCTCTAAAAATTGCCGCGCCTCAGTCACTCGAAAACTTTCTCCCGCTGCCATCTTTAAAGTCCCGCTGACAGCTCGGTTCCCGAAGCTAGAGCTGTCACTACTTCGGCAAACTTCGGAGAAAAAGTTTCCTTTAATCCTATTGGTCAGACTAGTATGGGCTCTGGTAGCCCCCACCAATCACAGCTCTGTTACTAGGGGAAAACCGCAGCCTTTCCATAGGGTCGTCAAATAGCGTCTTTATTGATATAGCGGAGGTGTCAAAACACGTCATTAAGGGTACCGGGGGGGGCGTCAAATAACGTCATTATGGGGGAAAGAGTTAACACGGATCAGTTGGCCATAGTGGAGTTTGGAGTCTGACTGTTTGAGGCTGTGGACAGGTGTCTTTTATACAGATAACGAGTTCAAACAGGTGCCATTAATACAGGTAACGAGTGGAGGACAGAAGAGCTTCTTAAAGAAGAAGTTACAGGTCTGTGAGAGCCAGAGATCTTCCTTGTTTGAAGTGACCAAATAGTTATCTTCCACCATGATTTACAAAAAAATTCTTTTAAAATCCTACAATGTGAATTCCTGGATTTTTTTTTCACATTCTGTCTCTCACAGTTGAAGTGTACCTATGATGAAAATTACAGACCTCTGTCATTAGTTTAAGTGGGAGAACTTGCAAAATCGGTGGCTGACTAAATACTTTTTTGCCCCACTGTATTCAACCCCTTTGTTATGAAGCCCATAAAAAGCTCTGGTGCAACCAATTACCTTCAGAAGTCACATAATTAGTGAAATAATTAGTGAAATGATGTCTACCTGTGTGCAATCTAAGTGTCACATGATCTGTCAGTACATATACACACCTTTTTTGAAAGGCCTAACCAAACACTGCCATGAAGACCAAGGAACTCTCCAAACAAGTAAGGGACAGTGTTTTTGAGAAGTACAAGTCAGGGTTAGGTTATAAAAAAATATCCAAATCTTTGATGATCCCCAGGAGCACCATCAAATGTATCATAACCAAATGGAAAGAACATGGCACAACAGCAAACCTGCCAAGAGATAGCCACCCACCAAAACTCACGGACCGGGCAAGGAGGGCATTAATCAGAGAGGCAGCACAGAGACCTAAAGTAACCCTGGAGGAGCTGCAGAGTTCCACAGCAGAGACTGGAGCATCTGTACATAGGACGACAATAAGCTATACGCTCCATAGAGTTGGGCTTTATGGCAGAGTGGCCAGAAGAAAGCCATTACTTTCATCAAAAAACAAAATGGCACATTTTGAGTTTGCAATAAGGCTTGTGGGAGACACCCAAAATGTATTGAGGAAGGTGCTCTGGTCTGATGAGACTAAAATTGAACTTTTCGGCCATCAAGGAAAATGCTATGTCTGGCACAAACCCAACACATCACATCACCCAAAGAACACCATCCCCACAGTGAAACATGGTGGTGGCAGCATCATGATGTGGGAATGTTTTTCAGCAGCCGGGACTGGGAAACTGGTCAGAGTTGAAGGAAAGATGGATGGTGCTAAATACAGGGATATTCTTGAGCAAAACCTGTACCACTCTGTCCGGGATTTTGAGGCTAGGACAGAGGTTCACCTTCCAGCAGTGACCCCAAACACACTGCTAAAAGCAACACTTCAGTGGTTTAAGGGGAAACATGTAAATGTGGGGCGACAGTAGCTCAGTTGGTAGAGCATTGGCCTTAAGGCCAGAAGGTCGTGGGTTCAATTCCCACCTCTGCACCTTCTCCACCGACTCCCACTGATGACTGCTGTTGTTGTGTCCTTGGGCAAGACACTTAACCCCACTTTGCCCAAAGCCCCCACTGAAAGATCAAGGCTATGCTCACACTCAGAGAGCAGCCGTCCTCCTGTGGACTCACCACCTGCAGAGGGTCAGTGAGGGGCTGGTGCTATGAGACTTGGGTGGCATCTCTGATTGCCACCCCCCTGACCCAGAAATGGATTAAAGGGTAGAAAATGGATGGATGGATGGATGTAAATGTGTTGGAATGGCCTAGTCAAAGCCCCGACCTCAATCCAATAGAAAATCTGTGGTCAGACTTAAAGTTGACCTGTTCGCTAGCACAAACAATCCAACTTGAAGGAGCTGGAGCAGTTTTGCAAGGAGGAATCCCAGTGGTAAGATTTGGCAAGCTCATAGAGACTTATCCAAAGCGACTTGGAGCTATGATTGCTGCAAAAGGTGGCTCTACAAAGTATTGACTTTAGGGGGGTGAATAGTTATGCACATTGAGCTTTTCTGTTATTTTGTCCTATTTGTTGCTTGCTTCACAATAAAAAAAGACAACATCTTCAAAGTTGTGGGCATGTTCTGTAAATTAACTGATGCAAATCCTCAAACAATCCATGTTACACTAATTCCAGGTTGTGAGGCAACAAAACACACATGAATACTTTTGCAAGGCACTGTGTATATTTGTAAATATACACTCACCAGCCACTTATTAGGTATACATTGCTAGTATCATCTATGATGCGAATCTCCTGTTCCACCACATCCTAAAGTTGCTCTATTAGATTGAGATTTGGTGACTGTGGAGGCCATTACAATGAACTTAGATCAGACGTTTCTGAAATACTCCGACCAACCCGTCAGGCACAACAACCATGCCAAATTCAAATTCATTTAAATCACCTTTCTTCCCCATTCTGATGCTTGGTTTGAACTGATGAAAGTTTTAATTATCCAATAAATTGTGTCCCACTTGTTGATTCATGACAAAAAATTAAAATTTTCTATTTTTTTGTTTGAAGCCTGAAATGCGGCGAAATGTTGAAAGGTTCAAGGGGGCCGAATACTTTCGCAAGGCACTGTACATGTAAAACCTTTGGCCCACTTTAGAATGACCCAAAGTTTTCCTGAAATTCAACGTCTACTAAATTATTGATATTTCGGCCTCTGTAGCAGACAAACATAATTCCAAAAGAACACCAGAGTCTTATAATGCATTTACAGTATAAAAAACATACTACTTCCAAATAGGAAAGATGATAAAACAACCAAAAGATGAGAGTATGAGTAAAAAACGCTCTACAATTCCCTGGGTCTGATTTAAATGGTCATACCTGCGTGGTAACGTCCCATCCGTCCTCCAGGCTGACCATCACAGAGGAGCCTGCGTCCAATAGCTCCATCACCAACACTGACACCTGCAGGACTCTGTGCAGCTGCAAAAACAAACACGAAAAGGTCACCACAAGCCTGTTTTTAGGCCGAGCCCCGACTGGGGTAAGGGCCTATTGTTTTCATAATGGTGAATGCAAGGGGTGGCGGTGCGTGATGGACGCGTCAGTGCCCGTCACTCACCACGGTTGCGTGCGTAAACTGAAGCGCTTTAAAATGATGTATCAGGTGCCATTGAAACCTATATTGTTTTTTCTCTGAGACGTTCAAAAAATTATTCTGCACTTTGAACCTTAAAAGGGACCTAATCTTATTTTGTTGGTATATTGTGGTCTTTTTTGTGTTAAACAGAACTCATTTTGACAGATAGCTTCACTCTTAGCGGTTTCTATCAATAATTATCATGCAAAAAGACATTCGCGGAAAAATTGCCGAGACCGGACGACTACATTGTAGGGCAGTTAAGTTAAGAATTGTAAAAGTGACTACCGTGAAATGAAAGATCCCAGCCGTAAAAGTGGACAGAACTGCAAAGTCTGGAGGTGGTTTGACAAGATGGATTGACGCTATTTTTACGGACATCAGCTAACACGCTAACACCAGCTAACATGTCAATACCCGCAACTCCGAGAAAGAGAAGCCTCAACTCTATGTCCCTGCTCAAGATATTGAGTTTGAGAGAAATGGTGAGTGTCTTCAATCAAATGCAAACATATATGGTCTTATTCTGAACGTGTGTTTGTGGTTCAAAAGTCTTATTCTGAACATGTGTCTGTCGTTCTAAAGTCTTACTAAACGTGTGTCTGTGGTTCTAAAGTCTAAAACATGATGGTATGTGTCATAAATATATCTTTTACTAAACATGGAGTATAAACGTAGCGTGAAACATGGATTCATCATTCAATGACAGTTGTTGTGTTTTCTGCTGAATACTGGGTTGAAACTCATAAAATTGGTTTTAGTTGGAGCTTTATAGAACTAATTTCATGGAACTGGCGTTGGTGTTTTCTCTCAATTTGTTTGGACCGTTGCCTTCTCTGAATAAGTCAAAGATTGTAGGGACAGCTGTTTACACTCTTCTTTTGGTAACTTTCATTGCTGCATCCCGGGGCCGTACAAAATACACCCATTTTAAGGTTTATTTGTGTCAAAGCGGCAGCAGGAGCAATGCCATAAACAATGAAGCGAGAGATGCGTCATCATTTTTCTGGCCAATCAGAGGCGCTGATATTAAAAAGTTATTTTACTGATTTATTACTTAACTATAACACAAAGACACATTGCAAAGGTGGGAAAGACATGCTTTCAATGGGTTTTATCAGGAAAAAAATAGTTTTTAATAACATTAGTGCCCTTTTAATTTGACCCCCTGAACATGCATGAAAACTTGCCAAATTTTGACCATACGTCAGAACTGGCCCCCAACAAAAGTCAGTTTACATTGCGCCTATGTCTGGACTTGAACATGTGTTCAAGACATAGACACAAAAAAAAAGTTATTATGACCATGACCCCTGACAAACAGGAAGCCCATACACTTCATTGCAAAATGGAGAAATGGAAAATTAACATTTTACACATATCGGTTGGAAATCATCTCCTCCTCGGTCTTTTCTCCGATTTGCGTCAAAATTGCTACACATCGTCTAAACACGTACCATCATTTTTCACAGAATTTTGATCAGTTACACATTGTTCAAGCAGCGGAGCGGCAAAATGTGATTTGTTTTTCCCCATTTTTACAATGGACAATTAGCACATACAAACACCTATTTGCACAACATTTTAATCCATTGGTTAACTCTAGGGTCTGGGTCATTTGAAAGTAAAATAATTCAAATTGGCCCATTAACGCCCCCTACAGACTATGTCAAATTTTTACATGGGGATAATCACATTTAGTTTTTTTAAAATGTTTATTCATCATTCTGTTATGCCCTCTTGATTCAAGAAGTAAATAACACCCAAGACTTATTTTTTACCCTGTTGCCGTGGCTACGTAAAACACTCCCCGTTCTGTGTCAATGGCAAATGTACACCTCGCACAAACATCTAACCAGCCACGGCCGTTTCACCGATTGGGCTGAAAATCGCTCCACATTATCTCAACACATGTACCCTCAATAGTTGTTCATAGAATTTTGATTAGTCACATGGTCATCCAATGGAGACTATACTCCCGTTTACACATTCAAAGTCGGATTTGTACTAAACTTGACTCGGTTGTTTGTAAGTAGTAAGTAATCTTTATTTATATACCGCCTTTTCACTGCACAGGAGTCTCAAAGCGGTTTACAATTGGGGGTGCCAGTACAGGAGGCACATGCCAGACCTATTGTACATATTTTTAGTGGTAGGGGAAACCGGAGCACCCGGAGGAAACCTACGCAGACACAGGGAGAACATGCAAACTCCACTCAGAAAGGCCCTGGTCCAACCGGGATTCGAACCCAGGACCTTCTTGCTGAGAGGCGAGAGTGCTATCCACTCAGCCACCGTGCCGCCCGTGTTTGGCCCTTTGACGCCGCTTGCGGCTTTAAGTTTTTTTCCTTACGATATAATACAATATTGAAAACCATGAAGATTATTTGTTTTAATCAACAGTAAAGCTTTGAACAATGTTGGTGGTGTAACCCAAAAAAATGTAGCAAAAAACTTCCCCTTACTTAAAAATGGCAAAATTCTTAACTATTTAGTTTGTAAAACAGTCTGGCATAATATTTAACTATTTATATTAATGATAATATATTCTTCTGTTTGGTTTGACCTTTTTTGTCTGAATCTGGGAATCTGGGAATTCTTATTACAAAGCAAACATGAAGCAGTCCTTCCTCATCGACAATGAAAGCAAATGTTCCAGTCCATTCTTCCTTGAATTCTCGGTTCTAATCAACTCTTTCCATTTTTAGCTTTGGGATTTATGCGGACTCATGTGGCACACACCGGTTTGTTTACAACAGTGGCCGCCTGGCCCGTGGCCGAATACCCGCGCGTTGTAGGATATGACGCAGAGCTCAGTTGACAGAAATTTTGAAATTGAATATTTCTTATGCACATTTTTACTGCATTGGAAAACGTTAAGAATGTTGTTCCTCCTACAGAAACCACATTGAAACTAGAAATAAAATATACCCCTCCCAAATATACCCCAGCTCCAGAGCTGCGGGTTGCCGACCCCTGCTCTTGATCTTTCTATTTGAGGTAAACTTTGATGGATTACACCCATAATTAGGCTATATTTAGGTTACATATCTATATTATAAGTCAGATAATTACATGTGAAAACTAATATGCAGCCGTAAATTAAATGAAAAAGCACATGAATTCTGTTTGAAGCAACAGGGAAAGGCTGAGGAGTGATACTAAATTAAAAGCTATCAACGTCTATATTGTCTTAGCCTGGTCTTACCATACCATCGTACAAATTTTCTCCATTTAGCTCTGTTAACAGGTGGGACGGGTTAACTCCTTTTGCAGATTGACAAAAATTCCTTTAGTGAGAGTTATGGCCTTTACGAAGCAGCCTTGTCAAATGGTGTGTGTAACCCTTTGGTGTAAAATGGTATAACCAGATTTTCCAAAAAAGAGAGACTAGTAATCGACTTTCATTCTTTACTGATGTAAACTAAGATAATTTTGGCTTTTTAAATTAGTTTGGTCAATACAATATTTAGAAAATGAATGTGCTCCGCAGTACATTTCCAGCTTTGAGTGGTTAATATTCAGAATAGGATATAATCACATAATTTATTTTCAATGGTCTGCTTGTAACAATAATCTTTTATTTCCATCTGTGCACTTAACCTCACTTAAAGTATATTAATACTGCTATATTTTGTATTCATTTGTTGGTTACACCACTTGACATTTTCACTCTTGTAGGAAGTACTTCGTACCAGGCTCATCCACTCGGAGTCCTCCAGGCAGCGCAGAAAGCTCATGTTGGGGTCGCTGGAGGCTGAGCTGGGTATGCAGGCCTTCATCAGCTTCTTAAAACTGTTCTTCACCTGTCTGACGTCACACACCTCAATAGGCACCACCTCCCACTGCTGGAACGAGTCCTGCTTACCCCCCTGGAGGGACAAAAGCACAGTTTGTTTTAGTCTTCATTAATGTACAAAAGATTGAACATGAGAGAACTTTGTTTAATAAATGTCCTTCATTAAGAGGTATTTCAAGATGGGAATAAATGACTCGTGACATTATTTGGAAGGGAAGAGCAGTGCCCGCCACAGCCCAAAAAGTGACGGTCAAGCTTCACTCACCCAAACACGGCTTCATGATTTGCAATCATACTTGCTCTACTCTATACTTGCTTCTTTATTAAGATAAAGATAGATATTTTATTTAAAAAAATAAACTATAGAGTTATGTTATAATGAATATTCATTTATCTTGTATTGTTAGCTCCTCATTCCTACTGTTCTTTAAAGTGACAGTCTGGAACTCTAAATGAATTACAAATTTTAAGAATTGTATTAAATTGATCTCCTGGCCTTAAATGTTGATATAAAATAAGTAATTTTATTAATTATAATATTACGGGTAAGTCCCGCCTTCCCTTCTCTTAGCTATAGCTCAGAATCCACGATGCCGTCCACGTTAACCAATCAAGTGATGCCAAGGGCTGTCTATCATCGCGCTGATGCTCAAAGCTGCGCGCATGCTCAGTTGTTTGTTTTTGCGGAGCCTCCAAATCAAGCCTCTAAGGTTCTGAAACTAGATGAAAACTGAACAGAAGAAGAATTCTGAACATCCGCGCTGAGTTACCCATTTACAGTGCCTTGCGAAAGTATTTTGCAAGGCACATTTCAGGCCACATTTCAGGCTTCAAACATGAAGATATAAAAAATATTTTTTTTGTCAAGAATCAACAACAAGTGGGATACAATCGTGAAGTGGAACGAAATTTAAACTTTAACAAATAAAAAAGTGGGGCGTGCAATATTATTCGGCCCCCTTGTGCTTATACTTTGTAGCGCCACCTAACAGCTGCAAGTCGCTTGGGGTATGTCTATCAGTTTTGCACATCGAGAGACTGGAATTCTTTCCCATTCTTCCTTGCAAAACAGCTCGAGCTCAGTGAGGTTGGATGGAGAGCGTTTGTGAACAGCAGTCTTCAGCTCTTTCCACAGATTCTTGATTGGATTCAGGTCTGGACTTTGACTTGGCCATTCTAACACCTGGATACGTCTATTTGTGAACCATTCCATTGTAGATTTGGCTTTATGTTTTGGATCATTGTCCTGTTGGAAGATAAATCTCCGTCCCAGTCTCAGGTCTTTTGCAGACTCCAACAGGTTTTCTTCCAGAATGGTCCTGTATTTGGCTCCATCCATCTTCCCATCAATTTTAGCCATCTTCCCTGTCCCTGCTGAAGAAAAGCAGGCCCAAACCATGATGCTGCCACCACCATGTTTGACAGTGGGGATGGTGTGTTCAGGGTGATGAGCTGTGTTGCTTTTACGCCAAACATATCGTTTTGCATTGTGGCCGAAAAGATCGATTTTGGTTTCATCTGACCAGAGCATCTTCTTCCACATGTTTGGTGTGTCTCCCAGGTGGCTTGTGACTTTAAACGAGACTTTTTATGGATATCTTTGAGAAATTGCTTTCTTCTTGCCACTCTTCCATCAAGGCCAGATTTGTGCAGTGCACGACTGATTGTTGTCCTATGGACAGACCCTCCCACCTCAACTGTAGTTATCTGCAGTTCATCCAGAGTGATCATGGGCCTCTTGGCTGCATCTCTGATCAGTCTTCTCCTTGTTTGAGATGAAAGTTTTGAGGGACGGCCGGGTCTTGGTAGATTTGCAGTGGTCTGATACTCCTTCCATTTCAATATAATTGCTTGCACAGTGCTCCTTGAGATGTTTAAAGCTTGGGAAATCTTTTTGTTTCCAAATCCGGCTTTAAACTTCTCCACAGCAGTATCTCGGACCTGCCTGGTGTGTTCCTTTGTCTTCATGGATCTTTCTGCGCTTTAAACAGAACCCTGAGACTATCAAAGAGCAGGTGCATTTATACGGAGACTTGATTACACACAGGTGCATTCTATTTATCATCATCAGTCATTTAGGACAACATTGGATCATTCAAAGATCCTCACTGAACCTCTGGAGTGAGTTGGCTGCACTGAAAGTAAAGGGGCCGAATAATATTGCATGCCCCACTTTTCAGTTTTTTATTTGTTAAAAAAGTTTAAATTATCCAATAAATTTCGTTCCACTTCACGATTGTGTCCCACTTGTTGATTCATGACAAAAAATTAAAATGTTATATCTTTATGTTTGAAACCTGAAATGTGGCGAAATGTTGAAAGGTTCAAGGGAATACTTTCGCAAGGCACTGTAGTAGTTTGGGCTGCGCTCGGATCGGGTCAGAACATTCTCAGACTGTGTTGCAGATTCGGCCTCGTTCTCATTATTGTCAGTGTGAAAAAGTTACGTATTGTTCACGTGTGAGTCTGTTGTGTACAAACTACACAATGTGCCTCCTGTTGTGTTAACGCTGTCTTTGTGCGTGTGGTTTGCAATGTTGACACTCTGCTGCTATGACGCTGGACTTCTGCACAATTATTTTTCTAAAAGATTGTTGTTTGGATTGTTCTTTTACATAACTGTGGTCCTCCATGGTTCCAACTTGTGAAGTCACGGTGAAAGCAACAATATCAGTAGGACATCGCGATTCTCTCCTTTTTGTACTTATCCACCACCGGTTTTCAAAATGGCGCATTTATACAGATAGGACCTCCTCTCTCATGGACACTTATAAGTTAAATTCTAAGCCTATGAATACAATTTAAAAAAAATATTGTAGCAATTGTTGTAGCATACAACACATGCATGAACGGGGTGGATAAATTGGACCAAAACGTGGCCTATTACCCGTTCATCAGACGGTCACTAAACTGGCCCAAAAAGTTTGTGGCCTATCTAATCCAGCTCTCGGTGTTCAATGCCTATGTCCTCTACAGAGCCAGAAACCGAGGACAATGCAAAAACCTCTTGCAGTTTCTCCGGAGAGTTGCAAGAACGTGGACCTCAAAGGAGCTGCAGGAGGATGTCGAAGGAGAAGTTGCTGCTGTTGTGGGGCCAGGCTTGGGCACACACAACCCCAGGGCTCCTTATAAGTTTGACCCAGATAGCAGGCTGGATGGGCAAATAAATAAGCACAAGCTGGAACACCTAATGCCTACCAGTAAGAGGAGACCAGCAAGAAAATGTCGGGTGTGTGCACGCAGGGGTCTTCGCAAGGAGACAAACAGGTGGTGCACATCGTGTCATGTCCACTCGTGTTTCACCCTCTACCATACCAAGGTGAACTACTGGGAGGAGTGACACACACTTTTTTTTCAAATGTTAGATTTTATTGAAATTTATTTTATATTTGTGTATTATTGAACACATTTGTTCCTTTGTTTGTTCAAATTTTCTAATTCTATAAAATGGTTCTATTTTGTGAATAAATCATTGTTTTTCCATCAAAAGTAATATTTCCGAGTCATATTTTTGTAATTTATTGAATGGAACAAGTGTTTAGATGTTTGAGGTGTTACTAAAACAAAAACTATCAGCTACAAATCACTTTTCTGCTTGGTATGTTACAATTTACAAAAAGCTAGTTTTCTCAGTTTTCTAGTCTGCAACTGGTGTTTTGAGAGAAAGTATATGTATATGTATACACATAGTCTATATACACTGGGAGTCTCTGGGAAAGTCATGTTGTATAGCAGTTTTGTCTTCAGTCCACCTTTTATTTATGCACATTGAAGTCACCAATTCCTAATTTGGGAAAATTGCAGCATGAGTATTACCAGGGTGGATGTCGGTGTGGTTGGAGCTAAAAACAACTCCAAGTCTGTTTGATACTAGCCTGGCCGTAGCCATCCGTACACTCCGCTCAATCATCATTTCACTGCATGTACCCGTCTGGGTCTGGTCCCTGTGTTAGCGAATACAATCGTCGTATTTCGACCGGCTACTCAGAGAGCGCGGAAGGCGGGTGTTGTAGGTCGGTGCTGGTGACGTCAAGAGTTTGCTCCAAACGGGCACAACCTGCCCGTTTGTTTGGTAATGGCGAAGAATGCAACAGTAAAGTGATCCGGTCTAGTTCTATCAAGAAATTGAAGCAGGAGCAAGAGGAATGTTTAGCAAATGTAATCGCTGGTCAAGATTGTGGCGCTACTCCCCACGGGCTCCGTTAGTGGTAAATGAGATGGCTAGGCTAAATGCTAACACACTCGGGCGCACTGCATACGTAACAGTAAACTCAGATCCAATCGTTTCAATCTGCAAAAGGAGTTAACCCCTCCCACCTGTTAACAGAGCTCAATGGAGCAAATCCAGACCTTAGTATGAAATGAAATTTGTACTAAGGTGTGGTACAACCAGGCTAGTTTGATAAGAGTAAAATGTTGGAAACAAATGTTGTTTAAAGAATGTGTGACTCGTTAGAAAACATGTTTAAACAAAGTTAATATAAGTAGCTGTGTCTGAAGTAAATGATCAGTTGTTTCACAGTGAAAGGGTTAGGGATAGGGAGTCATCTGAACAAGTGCTGTGTGAGGGTCTTTGTGTGTTACACCTTGAGCTGAGCCTTGTCTCCGATTATGTAGAGGAAGGCTTTATGCTGCCGGAGGAACAGGGCTTCACTCAGAGCTCCGTTGGGCTGTGGAGATTCTTTCCCCGCCAGCCGAGGTCCCACGTCTGGGGCATACGCACTGAGGCGCCCACTGCCACGAATACTGCCCCATTTACCTGCACACAGAGGGTCAGAGCTGAAGACACACAAAGAGGAGGACTGAAGACCTGGAAAGGGTCAGAGCTGAAGACTGAAAACCTGACTGCACACTAATGATGGAGAGGCCTATGTGTGCCAAAAGTTCCTGATATTATCCTGGATGGAGCTAACAATACTTCTAGTCTTTTCAATGAGGGGTTTAATGAAGGAACAATGTTTTTAAATGGTCGAAAAGTCTTCCTGCATGAAATGTCTGCTTTAAACACATTGTGTTTAAAGCATTTCATCATCATTTCATCATTTTATCATAATTTATAGCACAGTTGTTCATAAATACACATTGTCCCAACCAAACAGTATGGCACAAGTAACCATACTGTTATTTATTACAAACTTGTGTCAGAGCTGAAGCACTTGTTAAGAAGCAGCCATTGTATTTTGAAAACATCACCCACGTCTGAATCAATCCCAAAGCCATGCGCTACACCCCGACTAGCACAGTACACCCACACCAGACAGACATGCAGACGCCCAGGTTAGTCCCCATCTGATTGGTTAGAAGCGGACGAGGGGCGGGCCGGTCGCACTGTACCTCGCGGGCTGCATCTGCCTTTGGTTGAAGACACTTTGGGTTGAGACCCAGACACCACTTTCGCCTTTTGGCCTAGAGCTGATATCAACAGAGAGATGAATAGGGTCATTCCCTATTCCCACCTGAGTCCATGTGAGTCAGGACATCTCCATGAGCCTGACTACATCTTAGCTCCATGTTCAGCCACGTTTTTTTTTTCGAAAAGAACTGGGATTTCTTAAGATCACAAGTTCTACAGCCCCAAAATACACATGTCCTCTCACAACAAGTGGTAAGCAATAATAAGACGTTTAAAAACATGCTAAATCTATTGTGGTGATCATTATACGTTGATTAATTGGAACTTTAATATAAAAAAATGTAAAAAGTGATGTATTTTAAAAAACACCAACCATGAAATGGGATTTTATCAGCTGAAAGATGACAGTTAAAATACCTTTCTCATTTTTTCTGAGGCAATCACATTCGGAAACCATTGTCTTGAAGTTTTGCACAGCTGAATTCATCTTTGTGTGCCTTTTCTTAATTTTCATGTCTGATGAAGGGTAGTGACCCGAAACGTCACATTGTGTGGTGAGGTAAAATCTCTTGCGAGCAAAAGCTGTGCAGAGTCATCTCCATTTTTTTCTTAATTTCACAAGGTTTTCACTAGCGCTTGCTCTTCTTGGTATTATATTACAGATATGACAGAGACTGACCAATTATAAAGGCGAAATGACCTGTGATGACAGAGACTGACTGACAGAGGACAGAACTGAATTCATATTACATTGTTCATACAACAATATCCAACTCATTCCAGGTGCGGGCCAGGATGTGAGTAGGCGCTCCCTCACCTCCTCGGCTGAATGTTCCTGGGGCGTCCTCTTTACCTCCTGCCACCTGTTTGAGCAACGCTCCAAGCTTCGGCGGCCGCAGCCTGTCCGACAACTCTGGGACAGAAAAAACAGATAAAAGGGTCAACTGAGCAAGGTCGGGCACAAAGGGGTAGAGGAAGGACCCCAGAGACCGAGTGCACCAGCTGGACGTATTTCTTCAAAATATACCCCATACCTGGCTCGTGAGAAAGTAGCTGAAGTAATTGACTGGTTCTCTGTGAATGTAGGATTAAGTGAGGATTGTGTGATGTCACTGTTCAATTTGTACATAGATGGAGTTGTGAGAGAAGGCAATGCAAGAATGTAAGGGGGAGGGTGCGAGTTGGTAAAAGGGAATGTAAGTTGGCCTCAGACTCTTATTATTTGCTGATGATACAGCGTTGGAGTCAGACTCAGGAGAAATTGTGACTGTGGGTGACTTTGGTAGAGTGGGTACAAGGAGGAAGATGAATGTGAATGTTGGGAAAAGGAACGTGATGAGGTGTGTAAGGGAACAACATGCGAGTGGTGTGAATGTTTGTTTGAATGAGCAGAAGCTAGAAGTGGATGTGCTTAAGTATTTGGAATAAAATGTGAGAGTGGCAAGGTGCTTGGTGCAGTGAACAGAGTGGAGAGAGATAAGAATGTGAAAATAAGGGTGACATAAGTGTTTGTATGAGAAGGTGGTTGTATGGTGCAGAAACATGGGGAATGAGAGAAAGTGAAAGGAAGACATTGAATGTGTTTGAAATTAAATGATTGAGAAGCATTGACAAAGTAGTTATAGTTACTTCTCCCAAAAAGTAACTGAGTTAGTGATATTGGAATGTAACTTAAGTTATCATTTTGGTAAATCATATGTGGCTGAATTATATACTGTCTGTATTGTAATCCACTGTTGACTTCAGAGTGAATGGGGAGTCGTGTGTTGATGCCAGGAGGAAGCAGGCTTTAAGGATGCTAATGGAGAAGGCCTTGTCTCACTGTAGTTTTGTTTTCTGTTGGTTCCTTTTCATGGCTGAGGTGTGTCTTATCCACTTGAATACTACGTTACAGCCTGTAATGCTTCAGATCTGTTCTGATAGAGGCCGAGCTGTTGTGCTCTGACTCTAGCTAAGACATTTCTCCTTGTACAATGTGACAAGTAAAAGATTTACTTTGTCTCTTTGTTGTGTGAGATTTTGTCAGGATTGACTGTGATTAAAACAGCAATATCAGATTCAGATTCAGATTCAGATTCAGATTCAACATAATGTGCACTTGATGTGCACATTTTTACCTTTAACCTCAGTGATTTTGAAATAGTGCCGATCTTTCCATCTGGAAAAGGCTGTTTTGCTGCTGGAGTCCTCCTCACTCTCCATTTTTTTCTGTGTGCTGTAAGCACTAAACACCCGCCACTGTGAATGCGGAAACACACACCAGTGACGTGCAGTGAGGTTGGTGAGGCACTGACTTCACCCAAGCCCTGGCGATCCTTCCTAAAAATGACGTGGAAAAACTGATTCTCGCTTTTGTCACCTCAAGGCTTGACTACTGTAACGCTTTACTGGCAGCGCGCCCTAAAACCTCTTTAAAGAGCTTCCAGCTCGTTCAAAATACAGCAGCGCGGATCTTAATGGGTACCAAAAGGAGGGAGCATATAACCCCGGTGTTAAAATCACTCCACTGGCTCCCTGTGGAGTACAGAATAAAGTTTATAATCCTTCTTTTAACATATAAAGCCATAAATGACTTGGCTCCTTCTTATCTTCAAGACACGTTAGTGTCATATCAACCAAACCGAGCATTGTGCTCGCAAAACGCCAGATGTCTGGTGGTTCCTAAGGTCTCAAAAAGCACTGTCGGCGGCAGAGCATTTAGCTACCAAGCTCCTTTACTGTGGAATCAGCTTTCCATCCATGTAAGGAAGCAAATACGGTCTCCACATTCAAGGCCAGGCTTAAAACACTCTACTTTAATTTAGCATATGGTTAGGTTGTTTGTCTGGTTTGGTTTACACACTTGGTGTGTAATCCACGAATCTTTGGTGTTGTAGCCTGGGCTAGCCTAGCCGTGGCTGCTGCTGTCTCACCTTCATTCGGACACTATCTCTTTATTCAAGGCTAGGTTTAAAACAGTCCTCTTCAGTTTAGCATATGGCTAGGAAGGTAAGACTCAGGGAACGCTAAACTCCTCAGACTGTCAGTCAAGCTGCATTGCGAGTCAGTTTGGGCGGCACGGTGGCTGAGTGGATAGCACTCTCGCCTCTCAGCAAGAAGGTCCTGGGTTCGAATCCCGGTTGGAACAGGGCCTTTCTGAGAGGAGTTTTCATGTTCTCCCCGTGTCTGCATAGGTTTCCTCCGGGTGCTCCGGTTTCCCCTACCACTAAAATTATGTACAATAGGTCTGGCATGTGCCTCCTGTACTGGCGACCCCCACTCCCAAAAATAACAATTGTAAACCGCTTTGAGACTCCGATGTGCAGTGAAAAGGCGGTATATAAAATAAATAAATAAAATAAATATATAAAGTTTGCTGGTATGGTAACTTGAGCACTATCCTCTCCTCCTTCCTACTCTATCTGCATTATTAGGATTTTGACTGTTACGTGTTGCTTTTTACCCGTTGTCCCATTGTCTGTTTCATGGCGCGACAACAGGACCTCTAAACCTGGCCTCCTCCACCTTCATCTGCGGACTGCCCTGCCCGCCTGGGAAAACTTCAGTCCTGCACCTGTCTGCATTATTAAGATTTTGACTGTAGTGTGTTCATTGCTATTCACCCGTTGTCCTATTCTCCGTTTCATGGCGCGACAACAGGACTTCTGAACCGGCCCTATCTATCTACACCTGCAGACTGCCCTGCCCGACCCGCCTGGGAGCGCTTCATTCCTGCACCAGACCTGTCCACGCTCTGCGGCCGCTGCGTGGCATTGGTCCTCGTTCTGTAGCTTAGGTCCTGGATCATTAGCCCGTCCGTCCGTGTCGGAGCGGATCCCTTTTTCAAATGTGGGTCTCCCCGAGGTTTGTCACTTTATTTCCCACTGGGTTTTTGTGAGTTTTTCCTTGCCGATGCAGGAGGGTCTGTTGGACAGTTAGTGTCCAACTAGAAGGACTGTGGTGATGATCCAGGACACTTTAACATTCTACAACATGTATGGACATTTATCAACATTCATGGACATTGGTCTCTCCCTATGGACCAATACATATGTTTATATTTTGTGTCTTAACTGTTGATTCTCTGATCTGTGTTGGTGATTTCAATGGTTTTGTTAAGTCCTCTGAGATTACTTCTGTCGTGATTTAGGGCTATACAAGTTGTTGTTGTTGTTGTATTCAAATGAAAGGTTTGTGCTCAGTGGCGCATGTGCCGGCATGAGCGCCGAAATATTAGCAGAACTCTCCCATATTTTGGCATCGCCAGGTCCTCCAGATTCTGCGCAGTGGACGAGCTCCCATGATGCGTTGCTCCATATATGTGGCTCTCATGCACGTGCAGAGGGGCACGGCCGCGCTCTGACCAATCATTGCTGCTGATCAGAGCGGAGCTAGAGCGGGAGTTAGAGCTAGTGCCAAAAGAGCAGAGTATGTGGCACTAAAGTGTGTATTTAAACAAAATCGAAGGATTTAAGACGAAAAAACATTATGAAAACTTTATGAAAACTGTAGGTTCTCTGTCAGCTGAGGTCGAGCTGTTTTGGTTTACATTGAGTTCTATGGGGAAACTCTCTGGGTAGCCCACGTGAATTTAGTCTCGTTTAGTCTGCAGTACCGCGAGAATCCCCAGAGCACATGGGTCCTTCAGCTAAAAGCTAGTAGTACCCTATCCAGTTATTATAATAGAGCCTTGACTTCACCCCGATTAGATGTACATATATATCCTATAAATCAACAGGACCTACAGAGCGGCTTATTCACAATTTGTTTGGCTACAGCAAAATATGTTCCATGCTCGCATTGTTTGCTCATACAAAACGCAAAAGTATGAAAAAGCACATTTAAAAGTGTGTTATGAGCCTTACCTTAAACATAAACTGCACAGACCACCAGTTCAGACCAGTTTCATGTTTAAGTCCAGATAATAGTTTGAGCTTAGATACTGTATGTAATCCTCAATTTGGAAATAAGTCCAATGAGTTTTAAAAAGTGAGACAAAACGGGTGTCTCCTCCATAAACTCCTCTCCCCCGCGTCGCTGCAGCCAAATCTCGGGTGCATCCAATTTCTATAATCAACCTTCTTACCCTTCACCACTCTTATAATTCCTATTGTCATTGGAACATTACCCTAAGTGATAATTTTAAATTATCTTAAAATGTGTTAAATGTATGTTAGCCAAACCTGTTGCTGTCCTTAGCAGATGAAGAACAAGAAAGGAGCTTTTTGATGGAATTGGATGCAGCAGAATTCTTCGCTCACATGCGCCCCCTACCCGAAGGCTGGCCTCACTTGGTGACATTACAAGCCGTGGTTGAGAGCGATTAAGACCCATATTTGTTGTCAAAAACACAATTATGACCCATCCTCTCAACTGTAGACAACACATAGATTGTAAAGGAAATATGTTTGAACTTTACAAACCGCGATAAGCTCGAAGCCTGAGCTCATCAGCATGTGTATTTTTTTTAGCACAAAATCAGTCGGGTTGAACAGCTAAAGGAGGTGGACATAAATCCTTACAAATTATGGCAGGAGGACGATAGTGCTAGGTACCTGAAGTGTTCATGTGGGCGGAGCTGAAGCCGCTAAGAGTGTTACGCCCACTGCTCTCACTGTACGAGGGCATGGAGCTGATGATGGCCTGTAGGTACTTCTCCTGCTCCAGGCTGGTGGAGTCCGCCTGGGACGGGACTGCACAGGGACATACAATGACAAACATACACGTGACAAATAGAATAAGACTCTCACAATTGAGTGTAACCCTGCCTTTTTATTTACAGTCTTTGTGATATAGTCCATGAGAACAATGTAAGACTGAAGGAAAGAAAAGGAGTTAATATTTTCAAGTTCATGTCTAACTCATTGACTCCTTTGATGATATCACTGATTTTCAAGACCCACAGAATATAGTGTGCTATGGCTATGTGAAATGTGAAACCAGATTCTGTAACTGGACTGTTTACTTTAATCATTTGTTTCTAGCTTGTTTTGTTCTCCTGTACTTCCCAGTCGAAAAGAGGGAAGTGTGACAGAAATCACCAGTCTCAGACAAAAAAGCAGATAAAACTAAGTGTTTGTGAAAACAGACGCACTATGCAGAAACGTGATTTTAACACTATGCAAAATAATGTTTCATGGCACACTCACCCACATCCATTAAGTGTTGCTTAAATATTTCAAAAAGTGGTTTTCACACACATTCCTCCATGCAGATCTCCTCTAGAGCAGTTTTGGGACTGTCGCTGGGCAACAAAGACTTTAAACTAATCATTCATTCCTTCTTTTACACGGATCAGTTGTCCTGATCCCTTTGCAGAAAAACAGCCCCAAAGCATGATGTTTCCACCCCCATGATTCACAGTAGGTATGGTATCCTTTGGATACAACTCAATTATTTCTTCTCAAAACACATCAACTACTTTGATTTCTTCTGACCATATGACTATCTCCCAATCCTCTTCTGGATCATCCAAATGCTGTCTAGCAAACCTCTGACGGGCCTGGAGATGTACTGGCTTAAATAAAGGTGACGAGTGGAGGACATAGGAGCCTCGAAGGAGTTACAGGTCTGTGAGAGCCAGAAATCTTTGCTTGTTTGTAGGTGACCAAATACTTATTTTCCACCATAATTTTCAGATAAATTCTTTAAAAATCAATGTGGTTCTTGATTTTTTTTCTCATTCTGTATCTCATAGTAAGCAAAAGTATTCACCCCCCTTGGCATTTTGTGTGTTTTGTTGCCTCACAACCTGGAATTAACATGGATTGTTTGAGGATTTGCATCAGTTAATTTACAAAACATGCCCACAACTTTGAAGATGTTGGCTTTTAAAAAAAAACATTGAACTAAAGGCTGTAATGTCACAAAATAGGTAAAAAGCCAAGGGGGGTGAATACTTTTGTAAGGCACTGTACCTATGATGAAAATTAAAGGCCTCCCTCGTCTTTTTGAGTGGAAGAACTTGCACAATTGGTGGCTGACCAACTACTGTCACGTAGGTCACGTAGGAGGTCATGAGTTTTGGGTGATGCTTGAGTAATTTGGGTTGTGCTTGTGACGGCAGACTAAGTGCAATAGAACACTTTTGTGTGTGTTTGTGCGCGAATGTATATGCATTTATGGGCGTGTGTGTGCATAAGTGTGGTTACATCGGGGTTACATTAACAGAATGTCATGTTTGTTTAGTGCAGTGAACGCTGTGACGATAACCAGACATTTCAGCTCAATAAAACACTGTCTACAACACTGATACAGGGGACACAGACAAAGAGGAAAATGATGAAAAACATTTTTTTTTCATTCTCACCCGCAGTAGAGGTATTGGGCGACTTGAAGAAGCCTACCACTCCTTTAGCGTGGAGACCAGCAGAGCGCAGTAACACCGCTTTGGTGCGCGTGTTCCGCCAGCACACCACAGGGAAGCGGCTCTGTCTGTAACATCGACATATCCTCTGGAGTGTGCCGTCTGGGATGGACTGAGGCACGATGAGGAGCCCGGGGTAACTGGGAACGCACACACATGTTAACAACATAGAGAAGTTCCTTCTCTAAAGTGGCATCTAAAATGGCACATTAATGTATAGCCGCAATGCTTCAGATGATTTACTTTACGCATATGCTCTACAGCAGTGATTCTCAAAGTGTGGTATGCTAGTGGTACACAGGGCTCCCTCTATTGGTTCGCCAAAGAATCACTGAAAAAATATATATATATATTTTTTTTTTATTTAACCAGGAAAGTCCCATTGAGATTAAGAACCTCTTTTTCAAGGGAGTCCTGGACAAAAATTACATACAATAACAGATTATTAAACAGTTACATTCAATTTAATAAAATTACGGATTATAAAATAAGTCACATTTCAATGAGGATGTCTCAGTCTCAACCTGGATTTAAAAGCATTCAATGAAATAAATTCAGATAATTTCCAGTCTTTGTGCAACAAGTTCCATGTAGAAGGAGCAACATATACAAAAGCTTTTTTTTTTCCCAGTTCTGTGCAAAGGAACAGAGAGCAACATCAGATCATTTGATCCAAACCATATGAACCAACATCTCTTTGTGTGAGTAAATGGCGGATGTAAGAGGTTAGCAGACCAAGCCTTATAAACAAAAGTGCACCAGTGTCCAAACCTTCTGCTGGACAAAGGCAGCGATTCCACTCCAGAATATAATTCACAGTGAGTCAAGGCTTTGCTGTTCGTAATGAATTGAACATTTTTAATTGAGTCATTGTTTAAGTACAGTTTTTATCCTATATTTAATTGTCTTACAGTTGAAATTGTGTAAAATGTTACAATGGCTGAGAATATTCAACATACTTGTCCTCTGCCTTGTTTTTGATTAATACTTAGGCTTACTATGCTACTGTGTAGTGTCGGTCATTTGTAATGGTACTTGGAAAGGCAAGTATACATAATATTTTCAATCAATGAGTTAGGGCCCATCCTAATTCTCACCCTTGCCCTAGATTTTGAACATGCACCTCAATTCTTAGGGAGAAGAGGTCAGGGCCCTCACAGCCTTAGAAACCACCCTCGCGTTTTTAAGAGTGATCCCATGATGCATTACGGTTGTTGGTGAAGTAGCTGTCGGGCAAAGCAGCGCCACAATGAAAGAAAACAAAATGAAACAGCCAGGCGCAAGTTTGTGCTGAACGTGAGGAAGCTTCGAAGCGTGTGCAAGTCATTCAGAGGAGACTTTTTCTAAGCATGTGTTGGTGCCGTGTGTGGTGGCGTTCACTGAGGCTTCAAAGACGTGGATCTATGTTATTATTATAGATCCATGATGTAGTTCAGAGACTGCATTGTATTGACTTTGTGGAGCTTTGTGATCTGCGGCTGTACTCGTCTGTCTCCATGTGCCGTGTATGTACGTGTGTTTGTGTGTGCTTACGCATGTGCGTGATAGAGAGCAGTCCTGTACCCAATTATAGCTAATTTTCTTCATACGAAATACAATTAAAAACGTCTCACTTTGATAAATACTTTGCTTCATAAAGTCATATCTGTGTCAGATCTTATCTGAGGTGAAATCAGACACATTGATAATGCTTGTGATGTGGAACACGTTTGCAGCGTCGATTTGCATATTGTCCCCAAGGGTGTCATATTGTAGATCCAAGGGTGTCCCATTTCTTAAGGAGAATATCCTGCTAGTGCACTCCCCTATGGAAGGGCCCTCTTCTGTTGAGGGCACTCACAACTTGAGTGCCCTCAGAATTGGGACGGGCCCTTAGTCTTTTGAACATTTCAGGTGATGTGGTTAAGTCGCTTTTCTTCAAAAAGTACTTGTTATAAATCATTATTGACGTATGTTTGTGTAAGCTCTCAGTCGTACAGGGATTAGTAAAAACAAAGGAAGGTTTCTCACCCATCATCTGTACTTCAGTTAGCAAGTTTTCCCAACATTTCGTTCTTTTCCCAAAAACTTTTTCAAGGGAATGGAAGCTGGAGTTGGAGTTTGGAGATTTATAACCTCTGGATAGACACCCCCTGATCCTGGGGCTAACTCATTAACACATCTAAGGTCTAACGGGAGTAGGTCTAACGACCCTGCTGGGGCTAACAATCCTAACTCATTAGCACGTCACTGATCTTATTTATGATTATTTTTTATTTAAGTAAGAAGTGTACATACATTAGATATAACGTATGAAAGAACAGAAATTAACTTAAGAGAAAATAATAATTAGTTCCTTTAAACATTTTCCATTTTGAGTCTTGCAGGTTTTATTTTTACAATATATGATAGTTATTTTTTCTTTTTCTTGCTTCTTTCATTGATTAGAAGCAGTGGTAAGCGTGTGTGCGTATAAATGGGAGTGCATGAGTGTGGGGTATTGTAGGTGGAGGAAGAAGAGCGCTGCTATTTGTGTAGTTTTTTATAGATTTCTTATCTTATATGCTTTGGAATGATCACAAGTACTGTTTTTATTTTTACTAATAAGACTTTGAAATTGGGTTTATTGTTGAGAAATTTTGATTTATGAATATGATATTTTCCAAATAATATGTATAGGTTAAGTGTATATATGTTTGATTGTGGTAGAATGGAGTGATTATGAAATTGAAACTGAATGTTGATTTCTTGCTTTGTTTTGCGTTTTATAAATATTACCAGTTTCGTCTAGATTGTATGGAAGCCCGTTTCCGCGATGTAAAAAAAAAAAAAAAAAAACCATACAGAAAGTCAAAATTTTGAGTTTTAAACGCAAAATTACGACTTTAAAAGTCAAAATGTGTTGTTGTCTGGAACGGTCTCTGGACGTCCTTCACCTGCAGATTATGTGAAGATATTGCCTACAGTGACCACTGCATCCATGAAGTAGCCAGAAATAATGTTGTTTGATTGATTCTGTAAAACTTTCCTGTTTAAGCCCCAGGCCGCGGTCGTAGGACGCAGGGAGGGGCTGTCTTTTTATTTCTTCATGTGAAATTCAATTTACATATATACAACATTTAAATCAAACGACTTCTTATTTCGACATGGTAACAAATAATGTGAGCAATATGTTTTTATAATAAATCAAAGGAAAATGAGCCATCGAGACATTCCAATCCAATCTGCTACAAAACACTCTGACCAGACGATGGCGCTGAGAGGGGTCCACACGGAGCGAGTATTTCCACGGCTGAAATGATGCGCTTTCTACGTGTTGTGTACGGGGTTTTATTCATGCATCTATAATGGGTTTAACTCCCTTTTCAAAGACCCTCACTGTTATCTGCGGAGTTATTTCTCCGGATTGTTGCTAAAAGAGTCATGGGCTTTATTTTGTCACAATAAAATAATCACACAAGGAACTTATTCCCTATAAGTTCTCTCTTCCGCCTCCGTCGAGCAAAGACGTGTCTCAGACGCTCCTGCTTCTGACTGCTTGCTATCTCCTGTTTTTGTCTTTTTCCTGGAGTTTTGCCACAGACAACTTTAAGCAAGAATGGAAATGATAAATTGGTCCCTCAACGCAATTGATTCTATCTTTTCAACACGTAAGCGTGGGTCTGGAGAGCCCGTGTGCCCGGACGGGACTTCACCATATAGCGGTATACGCTTGACAGCTGGAACAAGTGGCAGCCCCTCTGTCTGTCGGTCCTGTCTATTGAAGATTCGGAAGACGTATATATCTTTGGCATTTTGGTGGTGGGAATCCTCCTGTTTGGGTTTGGAGCGGTTCTCTTCTACCACAAATTCGGAGGCATGGCAGTTCGCAAGATTCACGACCTGCTGGCCAACAAAATTGATGGGATGTACAAGGAGCTTAACCGAGTCGTGGTTGAGAGCGCTGTGGCTGGACAACGAAGAGTGGTGTTAGTGGAACAGTTGATCAAAGATCTCGCAGCTCGTTCACTCGATGGGCATAAAACTCTGGAATTGAGATTGAATGACATTGTGTGTCACGCTTGAACTCTCTGACCCGGCTTGGATTTGCCCCTGTGTACGGGGTCTGAGGGCGCCGCAATTCGGTTTAATTGGATTTAATAGAATATCTCCTGTTTTTGTCTGTTAAAATGCATACAATATTGCCCCTGTTCACAGGAAGATGTGTTTTCTCCTTGCTGTGTCTTCTCTCCACTCTTATCTCACATTCCTCGGGCCAAGGCCATAATAATAAATCTGGACTCTACAACAATTCACACTCTTTCAGTCAGTCTCCAGCTTGGATCCCGCTCCCCCCGCCTCCCTCTGATCTCTCCCTCCCCTCCACTCCTCACTGTGCTTCCGACTCACCCCCTCCCTGACCCCGCCCCCCTCTGACAGCCACATTGGGCCGGCAGCCAGAGGTGCTCATCCCGAGAAAAAAATCCGTGGTTTATACAAAGCACAATGTTTCTATCCAACTGTCTGTTGTAACCTGTATGTTATTGCTCTCTGCTGTTTATTCTACTGTTTGTCGCATGGCGCCGGAAAGATGGCGCCGTGGCAAGAGCTCTGGTGTGTGTCGTCTTCTCTGTCTGGCGCACACCGGGGTAGTCTTGCACAGTTTTTCCAATGTGGTTTTACTGCAAATGGCAAATAAATGAATCTGAATCTGAATCTGTATATGTCTCTAGGTTCCAACAACTTTACCCTCACGCTCGCTCCATCAGCTCACCCCAGAGCGTGCTCACGTTTAGGCCGCGCGCACGCACACACACACGTCACATACTCTTCAATGCACTGATCGCAATTCCAAAAGGTTTAATATTGTCAGTGCCCGTGACTGTGGTTCTCCTGCCTCTGTCTGCCTCCCTTACTGTCCAGTAATCGCGAACGGTCTCTCAGTCAGTCACAATAATATTCACTGCATTTCTGGTGCATCCATCGATAGCCGTGATACTGACCAGATGTCACCAGTTGATGCTCAATGACTTTGACCAGCCGCATGTGTTTTATTATTAATCTTCCACAGTCCGTTTAGGATAAATTAAATAGAGGCTCCTGAAGCGGATTCTAATCATAAACCGAGAGACTGTTTGCATTTTAACGCAATTACTGCCCCAACATTATTGCTGCTACTTCA